TGCTCAATATATTAAAATGAAGGATTATAATTATAATTATCTTAGCTTTGTTAAACTAGCCTGTATATAGAGATTGAAAGGAATTAAAAAATATATATATTCAGTAAAATGTGGTAATTCCTTTTAATTATATGATACTAATAAACATAATTAGCAAATTTAATACGGAATAATTGGGATACTAGCATATATAAGTGATAAGGATCCGAATGATGATCAAATTAAACATTCATTTATTGCAAAATGGAATAATCTTAAAATAAATTTCCTAAATCAATAAATAGAAAAATAAATCAAGTGAAAGAAAATCCATCATATTAAAATATTTATTTTAATTTTATAACATACAATTTATCACTAATGAGTGATTAATTTCAACTTAAGGGCCTAATCCATTAAGCTTTAATTATATATTTTTTATTATAAAAAAATGTCATACTTTTAACGGATTATAAAGAGGAAACTTGCTTAATTGAATATTGTGCCCACAAAAGATGAACCTTTTGCCATCTAAAGTCTTGTACATATAATAATGTGCACACCTCACTCTAGGTGAATGGCACATCATTGTGCTCCTTGAGAAGGAAAAAAAAAATTTTTTTTTATGAACTTTAAGAGATATGCGTAATCTAAAATAAGCCAATGCTCTATCCACTTTATTAATATCTTAATATGTACTGATGGTACTTTCTGATGATAACTAGAGTTTGCTAGAAGAGAGAAAAAATTAAGATCCACTAAGCCCTAAAGGCTAAGATGGTAGCATCTAAGGTAATTTCTAGTAAAACCAACTATGACTAAAAATGATAGTAGCCTACTTATTGATTTCAAATCAAGCTAAGCTCTTCTGAAAAGAGTAGCTAAAGGGATATGTTAGTTCAAGTCTACTCTAGTAGTTGGGGGCCTGTGGCCTAATTGGATAAGGTCACTAAGCTTATGATTTGAGGAGTTAAGGAGGTAAGTCATATGAGGGTTATTATGATAGATTAAGTAACCTTAGGTCATTAGGGCCAATACAATGTCACAATTAGTTCACTTGTTTAAGTTACAATAATTTAAAAAAATAAACTTATGGGGGTAACCTAGGGTTTTCCGTTAGGGTAAAAGGTACTAAAGACATATATAGTGTTGTTAGGATAATTTTGAGTCAATATAGTTGGGTTGAATTTAAATGGCTATAGGGTCATCAACTAGGGAGTCAGCTCAAATTTCATATTGGGAGATTAAGCTAATTTGAGTTAAAAAAAAAATAAAGAGATTTTGATAAAGTTATAGAGTTGACCAAGGTCTAATATAACACAATAAGGTGAGGCTAAGATCAGGCACAAAGATCATTAATGTAAGCCATGGGTCTAAGCGTCACCTATGGTTAACTTAGAATCTTGGCCAAAGGCAAAACATATATTAAGGAAGCTATGGGAATGTGGCCAACCTATGGTTTAACTACGATAAACCAAAGTAAGGTAGGATTAGCTAGGATCACTATTATTGGCCAATATTAATTTTGTTTGGATCTTGAGCTTACCAAGTTGTTAAGTTATTTAAAATTTGAAAACTATTATCATCTAATTATAATTACTAAGAAACTATAATAATAATAATAATAATAATAATAATAATTAATACACAACTAATACATCACCGAAAATCATCTTGATTAAGCATGAATCTCGAAGCATATGTCAAGCTATATAAACATATTCATTTTACACTGCATTTTTTTACATTGCATTCTTTTTTTAGCCAACAAAATAATTGGGATTAATCTATGTCAAGCTATACTCAATTAAGTTTTAATTTTCCATTTAAGCATTCAAAGAGTTTACTTAGTCTATGGTTATCTATTGATGGATTAAATTAGGCTTAAGCTTAGATAATAAAATCTGTCTAAGAGGAATTCGGTTGGTTTGGGTTTAACTTGAGCTAAGCTTAGGTCTACTCTATCCTAAGGGTTGTGACTAAGATGAGTAAATAAAGGGTTCCTATGCCCATCTAAGTATTCATTCAAGGTTCAATTGAACATAAATAAACCTATTTGAACAATTGGGTTAACTTAAGTCAAGTAGCGCCCATTGATGGTCCAAATGGGCTATCCTATAGTCAAGTTAACCTAAGTTTAATCTAATATGGTTATAGAGTTTCACTAAATAACTAGGCGATCTTAGTTTCATGTAAGGGCAGTCTAGACTAAGTTGATTGATTTCCCCTAAAGAGCTTGGTTAATAGACTATTCTAACAAGGCTAGTCCCTTGGTTACTTAGAGGCTAGGATCAACTAACTTTATGCTTAAAGAAACTACGTACACTACCTAATGGAGTTTAAGAAGAATTGAACATTTATGCTCTAACTCTCAATATACAACATTGCATTAAAAAACAATCTCATTGAAGGTATTGAACACCATTTTTTTTTCCTTCAATTGAACACCATGAACCCTTTAGCTAATGATGATCTCAGTAGACTAATTGAAGATCATAAAGCTCACTTTCTTCTACCTTAAGCTTAGTTTTTGACGACTTTTATATTACTTCTTAAAACAGTTTTCTAGTACAAATTATACTAGAAAGTTATTTTAAGAAGCAATGAGAAAGCTGTACCAAACAAAGCCTTAGTTTGGCCACTAAAATCAACCTAAAGGAAATCAAGAAGGAATTCTAATCACTTTGGACATCATCGGAGGAACTTTCTTATTGCTTTGCTTTTCAAATCACAATCACGGTTTCTATTTAACAACTTTTAAAAGTTTTTTATGCTAAGAAGCTGTGTTTTACAATAACTTTCAAATAAATTACTTTCTCTATAATAATTTTATAGTCAACTTTATAAAAAGTTACAGCCCTCTCAAATAGATCGTTGCTCTTAACCATAAGAAAATCTGATCTTATTCCAAGTCAATAATTCATAAACAAATGAAAGAACATATCTAGAAATATCTATGTCAACAATGCAAGCTACCTTCTCCATCCAGAAGATGTGCACAGTGAGCATTTGACTAATCTACCTTAAGCTTGAAGCAATCAAACTAAGACTTTTTTACTTGTCCAAAGAGTGAGCTCTCAACCAAAGAGAATCAAAGCTATCAGAGTCTGAAATGTTGAATTGCTTCTGCATATTAAAGGGAGATTAGGATGTCTTTATCACTGACATCATTTGCTGAATTTTGGTTGATCTGCTTTTGAAATTTGCAGGTTTTACTTGTCATTCTGAATTTACAGCATTGACAAGCATGTAATATTAATGATTTATTCATTAAATTTTACATTAATTAAGTTTTTATGTGAATATTTTAATATAATGTTTTTTAGGATACGTTCGGACTGCTTTCTTATTGCTTTCTAAAGCAGCTTTTTAATACAAAAATTTCTTAAATCATAAATTTTTATACTAAACAACTAGTTTTAAAAAGCAATAAGAAAGCAGTTCCAAACGAAGCCTTATTGCTTCTTAAAACAGATTTCTAGTATAAAAATTTTAATATTTGTACTAAAAAGCCGTTTTAAAAAGCAAAAAGAAAGCTGTCACAAATAAAATCTTAATCTCATTACTATGTTAGAATCACATATTAAAATATAGAAATTGTAAATTTATGGCTCACAGATTATAAATAAGACTCAGTGAGAGACAACCAACTGCACCTGCTATAAATGAAATCCTATAATTTTGGGCTACATTCATCATTAACAAGGAAAGAGAATAGTCAAACTACTCATTTAAGAAATATGATTAGCATTTAATAATACTATCATTGGGGAACTAAACATTAGGTTAAATAATTAAAATAATCAAACTACTCATTTGAGAAATTTGATTGATAGAGCCAATGTTAAAATTTTGAAAAGCAAAGATTGTATGAGACAAATTTTTCACTGTTTTGCTTTTCAGACCGCAAAAATAATTTCATTTGAGTAAAACTTTATTGTGGCTTTTTATAAATTTCTATGATAAAAAGCTGCTTTTTACAATTAGAGTTGCTACTATGTTATAGCTTCAAGAAAGCAACAACTGTAGATATTATAAATAGTAACTTTAGTTGTAAAAAACAACTCACCATAAATACTTTTGAAACCCCCTAAGTAAATAATGTATGTAAACTAAACTACATTATTAAGACAATGGTGGTGATAAGAGAGATGTTAGCAAGCCCAAGAGAAGAAGCTTAAAGCTAACAAGAATAAGCCAAAACAAAACTTTAATGAAGAGGAAAAGAGCCCTGACCCACAAGAGAAATTATTCTGTGCGGACGCCGAACGTCGTCCAGAGATCGACTGAGAATGAGTTACGTCGATACCTCAGCTCGGTACCGCACTCGGTATTGCTGAAGTGACTCATTCTGGTTGGTCTCCGGATGTAGAGCTGCATTTGACGCCCACACAAAATAATTTCTCGAACCACCAAAAGAACCGGAGAATTTCTAGGCTTGCCAGAGTGCTAAAAAGAGAGGGAAAAAGCCCTTCCACAATCAATGCATTTGATTTTATTTCTATTTTTTTTGTATTTGTTCGTGTCAATGTTTATATAGATGAATTTGTACCAATTGACAATAGGCAAGTGGTGAAATGAGGCAGAAATAAAATCCCTCAAGAGATTGTCTATTGCTTTCCCAAAACAACAAAATCCTTCTCTTTTTTAACCATAATGAAACAAATACGAAAGCCAACAGAATATTGGGAATAATCCCAACCATCCTTAGAGTTGGAGAGCTTATTACGTGCGGAGTCTAGACCGGAGAATTGATCGGATTTTGTAAGTGTGCACAGTAAAAGCAAAGTTACTGTGCATCACTGCGCTTTAACTGTGCACACTCACAAAAACTGAATGCAACTCCGATCCGGACTCTGTACGTAATAATCTCTCTTAGAGTTGAGCCTGAAGGCATAGTTCCCTAAAAGTTCCATAAAAGTTATACAGTCAGTACTGGACATATAAGATTGGAAGAATGAATGTCCAGGCCATCAGCATCTGCACCATATCAGATTCCCAGCAGCTGGGAAGTTGGATCACATTGTACAGGGTTTGAGTTTGGCTAAATTTCTAGTATGAAATTAACTTACACACAGAAACTTACATTTAACAATGGCAGTGAAGGAAAAAACAGATAGATAAATTTGGGATTGCTTATTTACCAAAATTTGTAGGTTTCAATATAGAAGATTTGACAAAACGAAGTGTCTCCATATCCAAGCTGGAAACACTTTTAATGGCAAGAACAAAACTTGGTCCTTAGCTGATAAAAAAAACCTCCAGCTTCTTGCTGATGAAGAGCTTCTGCAATGGTTTTGTATACCAACTTTCACGGACCATCAAAATCAGCTGGGAAAAGGATAATAACGTTACATTTATTCTGCAAAATCATGCTTTGCTTATTCTTATAAGCATTAAAATACAGTAATAGATCCATCAATGTTCACAGATGCAGCTTAAAACAATAAACAAGAGCAGGACTAACAGAAAAAACTAAGATCAGACGAGCAATTGAAAGCTAATCCTAACATCAAACTTATAAATTTCTAAATAAGATTGAAGTCAAATGTTTGCAACTGCAAATGACAATTCATAGCAGCTCGCGCTGTTGTTCTTTGTTCAGCAAAGATTTGAGTTATACATGAAGCCACCTCAACAATGTCATGTCGCTTCTGTCAAATTAATTTGTAGTCCGTACCCCTCATTCAGGGATTTAAGAAGACCTATATCTAGATTTTCAATCATTCATGCTTTTTATATTAACAACAACAATATCGAGCCTTTATTCTATGTGGGGTCGGTGTTAGATCGGTCCATTGGACCAGTCCACACGGGATCGGCTCAGGCGGAACAGAGGCAGAAGAGTTCCACCTCTCCTGTACACTGCTTGAACCGCAGGAGCCAATAGAGCAGCTTAGGAAAGATTTTTTAGGGAGTTAGGAGGAAAATTGAATGGAGGGAGTGTTTAGAGATTTCCTTTTGGATTGTATGCATTAAATAGTTTGTTTTCCTAAGGTTAGGGCATCTTGAATTTGGCTGAAATTTGAGATCTCTTAGGTTTTTTGGGCTCTAGCGATATCTAGAGGTTTGGGAGAGATAGATCCTCCTCTCGAATAGAGGATCATTTGTATCTTGGTATTTTCTTTCCGTTCTATTTGATTTCTTGCAATAAAATTAATGTTTTCTCTGGCTTTCATTGGATATTGGAAAAATTTCTCGCGGTTTTCCCAAGATTAATAGGATTTACTTGAAATCTTCAAGTGTTTCCTATCAGCCGGCTGCATGCTTTTTATATTAGAGATTGAATAATGTTAACACTTTTCTTGTTTAAGTAGATAACATTTAAATTGCAGAGAGTGACTCCAGACCCTTCATATACACAACATTAAATGAGAAATCTGGCTTTTCCTTTTTATTTCATGGCCTAAAGGTACATCAAAATCTTAGTTATATATTGCATAAATCTCTTCCTTCCCAGTGAGTCATCAACACATTCAACTGTAAAAGCATGTTAGCTGCTTGTTGTAAGATTGAAGGGCTCTGACAATAACTTGCAAAACTTAACTGCTCAATCTCAACTATAACTTCTGCACATTGATCATGAATAGTAGTGAGATTGTTCATCATAAAATTTACAACAGAACTAAGCATATAGAGCTAGACTGATTATATACACAACTCTATGATTGGAAACATACATTACTTATTTCCCTTTCAAAGAGTAAACATAGATATCTATATGAAGGCTCTCTGGACAGTCATTAGTACGTAACTACTGAGTTGTTACCAGTCGAACTCAACTCAACTTGATCATGAATAGTTTAGATGGTTTCTATATTTAATTATGATTATTTTTTAATTTTAAAATTCTAGGTTATTTCAAATAATTTTAATACATTTTGAATTTAAAAGTTAACATTAAATGAAGAACATATTTGTAATTGCCAAAAAATCTTTAATGAATTGAAGTTCCCAATTGGCTCTCTTAAATTCTCATAAAAAGCCCAAATCCACTATCCCTCTAAAAATTAACTCGGCTTTATATAAATAATTTACCTTGTAGTAACTGTTTAGGCCATTCATTATAAATTGTTTAAGGTAGCTTTTACTTGGAATTTCAATGAGTAATGAACAATTTAACTAAAACTTATAAAATCATTTTTAATTATAAATAATTAAAAATCCTAAATATAAAAAAATACTTTGCAAAACATTGAATTATGTTCATTGTAGAATTGTACATATGATTTAGCATCGTATATAAAATCTATCAAATATATGGCCATTAAATCAATTATACTATAAGATTACAAATTTTTTAATCACTGTTTATACCAATTAAATCATTGCATATACATTGAATTATGCACATTGTATAATCGTACATATATGATTTAGGATTGTATATACAATCTATCCATTATACTATAATATTACAAATTTCGTAATCATTGAATATGCCCATTAAATTTTGTAATCATTGCATATACCCATTAAGATTATATTATAAGATTAACTATTTGAGGATTGATTTATTGGTGCTACTCCAACCTTTTCATGCATATACTCATTTCACATTCTATCAAAATGTAAAGCCACACTCATTCACCTAAGCATCTTCATCTCTGTAACACTTAAACTTAATTTGAGTTTCTTTTAATGGTCAACATTCTGCCCCATAAAGCATTGCAGATCTCACCACCATCTTATAAAAAATTTCCTTAAATTTGAGGAGCCTTTTCTATCACACAATAAGGCTGATGCATTTCTCCACTTTAACCATCCAACTTAAATTCAACTAACAATATATCCATTAATTTCACCATCGTTTTGAACAATAGACCCGAGATATCTAAAATGTACCATATTTTTAATAACTTAATCACCTGATGTCACAATGCCACAACTAGATCTATCACTATTAAAATTATGCTCTATGTATTCGGTTTTAAATCTACTCAAACAAAAACTTTTAGACTCTAAGATTGACCTCCATAATTCAAGTTTTTCATCAACTCCCTCTCTAATTTTATCAACAAGAAGAATATCGACAATAAAAAGCATACAAGGTTCATCCTCTTGCAAATGTCTAGGTAAGAAATTCATGACTAAAGTAAAAAGATATGTGTATAGAGTTGATCCTTGATGTAATCCAACTGAAATAGAAAAATAATTGGTCAAATCACATTGTATTCGAACGCAAGTGACTACTCCTGTATACATATCCTTAATGACTTGAATATAAGCATTCTTTAATTTAAGCCATAATTTAATAATTATAGTGTTAATTACTTATCAATTCCAAACATAACCCACTTGATGAAGAAGATGATGCTCATTTTGGAAAAAGATTCAATTGTTAATCAAGAAATCATTAACTCATTCTCTTAGTCCATGTATTAATTTGATTGTAATTTTATTGCATATATCTAGCTATCATTTTGTAAGACTTCATGTAGTGATTATTTGTTAGTGATAACCTTAGATCAACACATAAGTGTTGAAGCAATTCAGCTTGGTAGTTTCTTTTGTATTGGAGAGTTAGGTTACTTAGACTATCTCCAAGTTTTGGGTACCGCTTTCCTATTAAGGAAAGCATGCATGTTGTTACAGTTTCTCCACTAGCTCAATAATGGAAAGAGTTTGACTTGCGATGGAGTGGTTAGCATAATCCTAGCAAGGGAAAGGCTTACATGTTAACTTAGGGCGTCAAGTAATGTAAAAATACTTTTTCTATAGTTAGATATTTTATTTTTGTGCATTTACTTTATCATTGCTTATGCTTAAATATTTATATTTTGAATTGGGTATGACATGCTCTTATATTTGTGTGTTGAATAGTCTATACCACTCATGCAACAACAACAACATCAAGCCTTTGTCCCAATTCGGCTGCATGAATCTTTTTTCTTCATTGTGTCCTGTTAAAAGTCAAATTCTCGTTTAAATCTAATAAATAAAGATCATTTTTAAAATTTTCTAACCAAGTCTTTTTAGGTATACCTCTACCTTTCTTAGCATAAGTCAAATATTATACCTCTACTTTTCTAACCGGGTCATCGGAAGGCCACCGTTTTGTGACCAAACCATCTAAGGTGACTCTCTCTAATCTTATCTTCCACTGGAGCCACTCCAACCTTTTCATGTATATGCTCATTTCATTTTCTATCTCTAAGGGTAAAGCCACTGACGCCGGTGGCGGAGGCGACACGGTGACGGACAAGAACACACGAGCTACAAGAACTAACAACTCACACAAGATCCAAGAACTCCTTAGAAGTGGGATCACCACCTGAAATCCTTCAGGATACAGAAACCCAAAACAAGAGTAAAACTACTCAATTCTTATTCATCTCAAAATCTCCCCTAATACAAGACACTCGCCTATATTTATAGACTTCAGGTAGCCACATAATAGACTACACAAGAGATAGAGCTACACCAATTACTAATAAGAAAATACAATTTATTTATATGGACGCTCCAGCGTCATTCTCTAATACCAAATGACGCCGGTGGCGGAGGCGACACGGCGACAGACAAGAACACTCGAGCTGCAAGAACTCGCAACTCACATAAGATCCAAGAACTCCTTGGAAGTGGGATCACCACCTGAAATCCTTCAGGATACAGAAACCCAAAACAAGAGTAAAACTACTCAATTCTTATTCATCTCCAAATCTCCCCTAATACAAGACCTTTAATATTAAGCTTAATAGTTCTATTACTCACACACATATTGCTTAGACCCTTTCGCATATTTTTTATAGCAAGTTGTGTAGGCTCCTTCACTCATGCTAATTCTCTAAAGAGAGACACTCATATTTAAGCTTCTTGTTCATTCACACATGTATTAGCATAATCTATCTAGTTCACTCACTTACATTTTGTGTTTATTTAAGATAAATGTTTAATTAATTATTTATTTTTGCAAGATTAAACGTTTGGGCTTTAAATTGGGTAAAATTTAAAAAAAAATTTAGATAGTATCATCATATAGAACAATTCCCCCTCTTATTGTACCTTTAAGCTAGCATTTTTCTCCATTGTTCTAACTTCCCACTTATTTCAATAAGTATCTCACAACACCATAAGAATATATCGAGACACCTCATTTGAATACCATTTATAAACATCCTCATAACCAATACAATAAGGATAAAGGCTCCACGTTGATCCTTGATATACTCCTAAGTCCTACCATAACAAGGAGTTTCTTGGCTACTTCACAACTACTTCTAATACTAGTAAATGAGATGTTCCATAATACATACATATAATAGCTTTGACATACCTTTTCTCCAAGAAAAAAATAGTTAAGGCATGCTTAAATTGCAAAATGTTTGAGTACAATTTTGTCTGAACCACTACAAAAAAATGAGCATTTCAAATTATTGTCTAGCAAATCGCCTAAGCTGAGCCTTCCCTCACTCCAAAGCATTCGAAACTCAATAATTGCGTTCAAAAGTAGCTAATCAATAAATACACATAGAAATCATGATCCCTTCGCACCACGGCATTAGTGACTCAATAACAATGTTCAACAGTAAATGATCAATTAATGCGAATAGAAATCATAAAAAACAAGATCCTTTGGCATTAAGAAACTATCACAAGAAGTTTGACCAAACGACGCAGGGAAAGCATAATGAATGCGCTCCACTTTGCAAGGGGACTTGGACCAACCTCATCTTCAATTTTAGAAGAAAATAGAATTACAAGTTGCTAGTTGAAAAAATAACAGAAGAACACTACCGCTAGTGTCCAGGATGAGCTCGGCAGGAGATGATACCCTGAGAAAGAGCGCGAGAGCTCTGTGAAGCCAAGCTCAGCCGTGAAGTCAGCCGCGCTGCTGCCACCGCCGTGTGCAATGGTAAGAGAGAGTAGATGCAGCGACCCAATTCCAAATGGGACCTTAAAAAACCGCAGCTTTTGCTTAAATTTAGCCCGAAAATCGAGGGGAGGGGGGAAAAGCTCAATTTTGACAGATAAGCAGACCTGGAGAAATGACGAACGGAGGAAGTAGACGCCGTTTTGGAGGTGGAAGTAGGGAGGGGAGACCGCATCGCCGCGGCCGCCGTGGGCACAGCTTTTGAAGGCATGATAGTTGGCCTCAGAGAATGGAGAGAGGCACGGATCATGAACCGAAGAGAAGCAGAAGCCATGATGGCGAGAAGAATTTTTATCAAGTTTTGCTCAACAGACAGCTGCGAACGATCTAGGGTTGAGACTGCGGATCGGAAGGAAGTGACAAAAATTAAATTTTGAAACCAGATTTTTTTTTTCTTGGAACTGGCAAGCCGATGCTATCCCTAGAGCTACGGAGAACGACCCTATTGGTTACCTAGTTAAATATCACTTAGTACCGCTAGATATTTCGTGCTTGTGTGGATGGTGCACACTCCGCACCTAATAATTTTTTGAGCTTAGCTAGGGAGGGCATCAGTCGAGTAATTAATCTCTTGGTGGACCTAGCAACAATCAACCTCACAGGTACAAGATCGTGCACTTATTTTTAGTCACTTAAAGAGCAGCTTGAGAGAGGAATAGAATTTGGGTTGGGGAGTTCCCAACCATGCTCGCCCTCCAATAAACCTTAGCCCGGTGGGGTAAACCAATAAATATGATTACATCTGAATCAAATTGGCTAGAACCCAACTTGTTTAATTAAGAGGTCAAAAAGTCAAATTCAAACTTAAGCAATTGACAACTCAAATGAATCAAATTTGACCCTATGATTTATTTTGATTAAAAAAAATTATAATTTATTAACAAAGAGTTTAAGTTTGTTGCGTCCTGGAGTATTCGCGGCGGTAGAGAATTATAAAGTTTAGTGTCTTAGCGTTGTACGAAGATCCAGCACACAAGCAGATAAGTGAGAGAGGGTATAACATTCATAAGAGACACCAGAGTTTTTACGAGGAAACCCCTGAAAAGGGGGAAAAACCATGGGGTCTAGCCCAGTTGAAAATGATTCCACTAGAATATAAGTCGGTTACAATGGTCTGACTCGCCTCTGAGGGAGATCATATGACAAATAACAACTGTACGATAGAAGACCGGGTGTCAGGTGATGATCTGGCGGAACTTCGGTCCTCAGGTGATGGTCTAATGAAGGAGAAGGCCTCTGGCGAAGGTGAGGGCCTCTAGCAAAGGTAAGGGCCTCTGACGAAGATGAGGGCCTCTGGCGAAGGTGAGGGCCTCGGGTGGTGGTCCAGCGAAGCTCCGGCGGTGGTCCGGCGAGGCTCCAACGGTGGTCAGGCGAGGCTCTGGCAGTGGTCCGGCAAGGGTGAGGGCCTCAGGTGGTGGTCCGAAGAGGCTCCGGCGGTGGTCGAGGAGGAGCTTCTTCCTTCTCTTCTTCCTTCTCTTCTTGCTTGGGTCCCCTCTTATGAAGAATGAGGGCTCTATTTATAGTTTTTAT